TGGGGTAACGTTTGAAACGTTACCGCAGCCAGACATTTTCTTTTTTAATTGTAATATTGAAATAAATTTTAGCTAAATAATTAGTTATCTGGACTAGGTAAATGTTACAACTTATTTGGTATTTGTATTTTCTTCGGCTGCGAAGTTATTCGAAATCCTGCTGGAGTAACGTTTGTGGGTTTGCTGGATCTCTGAAACGGGTTAGCGGATTGTAACCATCTTTTGTACATAACTTCTTAAGGATTAGTTTTAATTTGTTCGACAATAAAATAACAAAAATAATGGACCGTTTAAAAATTATTTAGGTAAGTATGAAAACACTTCAATACGTCCTAACACTTTAAATAAGACCTCTAAAGACTTACTTGAAACGTTATTCTATTGCTTGTAACTACCTTCAAATGTATACGAATTTTCGTAAGAATACTGTAAGTGACTAAAAAGTTATGATGAAATGTAGCTCTCCACGTTCACGATCACAATGTGTGCGGCCTTTTTTAGCCACCGATAAACCTGTGTGTGGATATATAAACTGAATGTTATGCCAATAATTAGTTGTTTAGTTCAGTTGTCTACCTGTAAAATTTCAACGTCGTACATATAATAATTTACGAGATAATTAAATAAAAGTCATTAGAAGGTGCAAGACCGTGGTAACCCGACCATGTTTAGGTGGTTACAAAAAAGCGATCACCCAGTACATTGTGCTGGCTTTTAAAATATGTAGGATATTATTTGCAAGTTTACTACGGATATGTACATAAGTGTTACAAAAAACTACATGTTTTTTAAATATTTTTTATTTAGGATTGTTTATTGCATAATTAGTAATCAGCCGGGAGATTAGGTATTGTTTTGAATGCTTTTGTTTTCTCGTAATGTTTAGGTGAATTGTTTATAGTTGTTCATAGAATTGGTACCTGCGTAGTATTTGTTAATTGAAGTTTAATTTTAGGGTAGGTATAGGTAATTTAAGAAATATGAAATGAAATGAAATGATAAGTTTTGAAGAGTGTAACGTATGCGTTGTAAATAGGTATTTTGTGAATAGATGGGGATTTTTTTAAGTGATGAATCGACTTAGGCTAGCATATCGCGAGCAAACTCTGTATTGCATTATTTCTGTAATAATGTTGGAGAAAATAAAATATTTGATCAGAAAATCGCGGTGAGTTAAATTATAATAAAATAAATTATTTATATAAAATTAGTAATAAGTGATATACCTACCTAAAAGTTATTATCGTTTTTAATTTGTTCACCCTGCACGAAATTTCAATATTAGCATTAGTAATTAATATCCTAAGACAAGAATTGACAATTACTTAAATTGAATCGAATTAGCATTAATGCCTATTATTAGTAATTAGGTACACACATATTGAAGAACTCTCAAGAATACGTTAAATATTTGCAAAAATAGAAAGCGGAAGCGCACACGTACTTTAACAACACGTATATTATCTGCCTAAGGGTCAAGTTTAGTGCACTAGATGCAAATTGAAAACAATGAAGTATCCCTTCGCCCCTCCCCTCCCGCGTTCTAGCGAAGGCTGTATTATCAGCGATTCTTGATTGACAAATATTATCTGACCAATAATTTTATCTATAAAAATGTATCACTTTCACTCGATAAATTAAATTACCGTTATTATATCAAAATATCATTCAACAACTGTTCGTTTTTAACAGAAATCAACAGTCACGGGCTCAACGCTTAACGGTAGGTGCATAGGTATAGATAATTCTCGGTTCTAGGTATAGACCACAGAACAATATTACCTACTCTTACGGATATACGACTGTTGGGCGATGCAATGTTGATGCATTCTAATTTACAACTGTATTCTTCTACTATTCGGTCTATTTTAACTTATTGTAGATGACTTGTTGCTTTTAATATTTTGATGCATTTAAGTCAAAGCTCTATACACCCCAAAATAAAATACAATTACTTTAGTGTTATTTCTTTACAAAAAAAAAGTCGTTTTATTGCAGTCAGGTGAATCGTTCATACATGTATCTACATATTTATAATTTTAGCGGACCAGTGCAGATTTTCTGTTGATTGTAGCTCCGGTAGTAAAAAAGACTAAATAAATTTTAAGTAAAGAAACTAGTGCTTAAGATCAATCAAGGTAATAATAATGAATAAATATTGAATGTATTTAACACTGTACGCAACTGTACCGAAATCGTAAGGTGTATTACACTAAACATTTTAAAAGACAGCGCAATGTACTGGGTGATCGCTTTTTTGTAACCACCTAAACATGGTCGGATTACCACGGACTTGCACCTTCTAATGACTTTTATTCACTTATCTCGTAAATTATTATATGTACGACGCTGAAATTCTACAGGTAGACAACTGAACTAAACAACTAATTATTGGCATAACATTCAGTTTATATATCCACACACAGGTTTATCGGTGGCCAAAAAAGGCCGCACACATTATGATCGTGAACGTGGAGAGCTACATTTCATCATAACTTTTTAGTCACTTACAGTATTCTTACGAAAATTCGTATACATTTGAAGGTAGTTATAAGCAATAGAATAACGTTTCAAGTAAGTCTTTAGAGGTCTTATTTAATGTGTTAGGACGTATTGAAGTGTTTTCATACTTACCTAAATAATTTTTAAACGGCCCATTATTTTTGTTATTTTATTGTCGAACAAATTAAAACTAATCCTTAAGAAGTCATGTACAAAAGATGGTTACAATCCGCTTACCCGTTTCAGAGATCCAGCAAACCCACAAACGTTACTCCAGCAGGATTTCGAATAACTTCGCAGCCGAAGAAAATACAAATACCAAATAAGTTGTAACATTTACCTAGTCCAGATAACTAATTATTTAGCTAAAATTTATTTCAATATTACAATTAAAAAAGAAAATGTCTGGCTGCGGTAACGTTTCAAACGTTACCGCAGCAGGAAATGTTTTTTTGAAATAACTAAAAAAGTTTAAGTGAAACAAATTTAAAAATGTGCCTAACAATTACAGAAGGGGAGCAACTAATTATCTATAACGTTTAAATGACCATTTTCGACATTATTTTGCTGGGGTAACGCACACCACCATGTGTTGTATAAGTCTTATAAGAGATAGGATTTTTTTGAAGATTTTATTTAACCTAAGTACGTAATATCAGATTCGCTATCACGTATTACTGACTAGGGATGCGTGGTGGCAATATTATATTATGAAATGTTTTACCAATATCGATTGTAATAGCTTTTGCTGAAATATCTACCGAAGGTTCACCTATTATGATCATGAATTTGCTTCTGCAAACGGCTTCACTCGTACGGTAGAGTGACTGAATCAACATAATGCACCCTCGGTGTAACAAAGTCACAAGTAGGCAAAATTGCCAAAATGACTTAAGTATGCCAAATTGTCTATAAACCATTTCTTCGTTTGGGAAATCAAAGACAGCCGCGAAAGTATTTGAATATATCGATAGATGGCATTAGTGCCTTTGTGGTTCTTGCTACTTTTTCGACGAATATTGGGAGAACAGAGTATGATTAGTAAGTAGTGACCCCGCGCCCGCATGAGTCAGTCGTGACTTGGAGCTACACCAGCTTAAAGTAAAAAAACAAAGTGCCATTATAACGCTCAAATAATTAAATTATATTTGTACTTGGTGCGACATAGTCACAAGTTACGACTTTTTTTTTGTTTCCTTTTTTTTTCAATTTTCTAATGAAATCAAAGAAATCTTTTTACATGATACTATAGTTAAAAGAACAAAAAATATAATTTTAATGAGATATCCCGGCTGCTGTAGGTAGTAATCTAGAAAAAAGGAAAATTGATCGAAAAAAAAATTAAAAGTCCGTTCCTGTAAAATTACAAAATGACCTGTTGTGACTGTGTTGCACCGAGGGTGCGATAATTAGAAATAATTTAGAATATTTTTGACTCTCTTTAAACAATTTTTAAAACACTAAAGAAATAGATTATAGTTACGTTATTTTCCGACGTAAAAAATATACACTACACAGTGTGCCGAGAAAAATACATTGTGATTGATAACGGCACATAAATAGAAATACATCGATATTTTCAAAATGTCGATACGTCGTCGTTTAGATCCTGTCAAGTTCCGGACTCGCCCCGTTTGTTATTTATTTTTGTTTAATTTAGTGTTAAACTCGCATAGAAATTATGCTTGTATATTTTTTATTTCATAAACTGTAATAATAATGAAAATAATATTTTCGAAACTAATCTAATATCTTTTTTCCTAGACTTCTTTCGCTAGTAATTTTGGTATGAGAATAGTCAAGAATAAATTCTCAAGTGTTAAGGATTTTTTTATATTTAAACGCTAACATTTCAATACAAATAAAATTATGTATGGGGATTTGCCATTGTCCTTTCAAACTTACATAGATATAAATATAGCACAAATTTACGCGACGTGTTCGTTGCTGCTAGTCGGTTCACATAGGTGTAATTACTTATGAACGAGGTTTTAATGATTTATCGATTGCATAAGTTTGAAACATTTTTAAATGCCAGTTATGTGTTTCATCTGTATAGTACAGATTAATACAATGCACTATAAACGAAACCAAGTTTTTTCGTTACTGTTTAAAATCTGATTTATCAAACTGTTATACTACTACTGTTGTACTAACTACTCTATACAAAAAAAAGTATTTGAATTCCGTTATGATGAATGTCCGTTATGGCTTCAACACAAAGAACAAGTTCGTACTGAACTCGTTCTTTGGCTTAACTTCTTCCTCTAAGTTTATTTTTATATTCTAAACCAAGTCTATGCCTCTGCAACCGGTGTCAGGTAATAGTGACAGCTTTCATTTCAAGAAAAAAATATGGAGCAATTGATAGCTGAATAGAAAAATTGAGACAAGCAATGATATAGTTTTTTTTTGTAATAATCTAAGATTTGATTGGAGAAATCGTTTCAACAAAACTGTTAAATCCTTTTATTTATTACAGTAACACCAACTAAAGCATGAAATTCGTACAATTCAGATATAATCATGATCCTGACGAAATTCACGTAGGATATATGGAAAATGAGGATGTAGTTGACATAAACAAATACAGCCCTGGAATGCCGAGGACTATGTGCGGCATTCTGAAGACTGGCTGCACTTGCAACGCAGTTAAGATCAAGCACTTAGACCCGCTTGTCGAACCTAAGGCTAGTGTAACATTAGTGGCTCCTATTACCGGGATGGACAAGATCCTGGGTGTAGATAGAAACTATGTTGACTTTTGTGATGAACAGAAAGTTCAAATACCATCCCAGCCATTAATATACACAAAGTTTCCGAGCAACATTATTGGTCCAAATGAATCTGTCAAAATAAAGACCGACGTTGTTAAGGAAGTAGATTGGGAAGTGCATCTGGCGGTTATTATTGGTCAGACCTGCAGCAGTGTATCCGCCGCTGATGCTTTTAAGTACGTATTTGGATACACAGTAGCCCAAAGCATTTGCAGCAGGGATTGGGAGAAGCAAAACCCAGGAGAGCTACTTTTTGGTAAAGCTCAAGATACTTTTTGCCCTCTTGGGCCATGGATTGTTACGTGTGATGAGATTGAAGATCCTCATAATATCCAAATATCTTGCAGTGTAAACGGTGTTGAAAAACAGAACAGTCATACGTCCAGAGTAATTCATAAAGTTCCAGATATTATTCAAAGATTGTCCTCGATAATTACTCTCCTGCCCGGTGATGTTATACTCACGGGTACTCCAGCAGGTGTTGGAGTTAACCGTAATCCCCAAGAGTTTTTGAAGCCTGGAGATGTAGTGCGGAGTGAAATTGAAAGAATAGGATCATTTAATGTAATGGTGGCTAGATTTTGAACAGACAAATGGCCGTTGTGTTGTAAGGATTGTATATTGACATACATATTTCATATATATTAACTTGCTGATGGCTGTCTTTTGATTAATATTTCTGTTACATTATATAATATCATGCCCACTAGTATTTTTTTTCTAGGTTATTTTTTACCTGATCATTTCAGTACTCCTTGTCCAAGTTTCTTTTATTTCGATCCAAGTCCAAGTAAAATTTTATTTAAACCTTGCCATAGTTAACAACATAACAGAGTCCCTGCAAGTTATTACACTACAATGTGAGGTAATCATTAAATATTAGATAAACATACCTTCTAATTGTCCTTTATACCTATTTGCATTATAAAGCTACAATTTCTTTACACATAATACCTATTTCTATTATAAATCTCTTTATTCTTTCTATTATAAATATCGTTGCACGATAAGTGACGGGGTTACACAACTTATCTTGCATTGACTTTATTCTCCCAAGAATTACAGCTCTGTCTGAACAAACAGTCACTAATCTCTTTTGTTTAAAATCATCCGTGAGATAACGGGTAGATTCTTCAGGTGGAGCTAAATTCGAGAAGCATTAAGATATATTATGTTTTTAACAATTGAGCATAACCTTCTATAATTTGACCATGAAGGACTATTTAAGTTGTGAGTGTTGTGACTAATCACAAAACTCGGTAGAATACATAAGTAGGTAGGAACAACCACGTTTTAGGTAATACAGGTTGGTAGGAACCATTCGCAGGGGGTATGATACGTTACGGCGTAACATGAGTAAAAGGAGTTCAATAATGAGAAGGTTTAATGGGATATAGATCAGTACAAATAAGTATTTAATAGCCTCACTACCTATCATCCTCGCGCTTATTCTTGTATAGGCCGAAACCCCTATGTGTCAGTAGTGTTCTGCACCTGGATCATTGCTGTGTAAATCAGTTAATTAAACAGTTTGGGTTCTTTATAACCACAACAAATTGACGACGTCTGCCTCATTAGTTATTCATATCGCCACGTATACACATGATCGATATCGAACTGGGTCACTGTCATATGCACGATCGTTCCTACCATCCATTCCAACCATCACATCAGTGATTATTAAAAGTAGCAGCGTAGGGTGTGCTGGTATCTTAAACAAATACTATCAACCAAATATTATTGTAGGATCATCAATCCAGATCGAAATGAGACACCAGCAAGTGAGCGTGGATTACTGGGCGATGTTGAAGTCCATGATGATATACGGAGTGCTAACCTTTCTTGGGTGGATGATGTTTAGGTTATTTAATGCTGTCTTCTCATTGCCTCGACGATTGCGAACCCAACAGCAAAATATACAAGAAACTTTACAAGAGTTTCAGGTAAGAGTTGTAGCATTAACTTTTATTAAGACTTTATAATGGTGAGAACACCATATTATTAGATACTGTATTTGACGATTTTTCTGTTATAAATACAAATAGAATAAGTTTTATTATGTTTTTTACTTATATTTGTTTATAACTGTAAATACTTACTTTCAAGTAGGTACATATTTTGAATTGTTTCTTATTTGTTGTTCTCGCGAATTAATTTATTAACATGAAGGTCTAATATAGTAAGTAAAACATCAGGAAACAGTTAAATTATTTTCATATCACTTATATCGTTTTTAAATGATGATTTGATGATGTATTTTAATAACTATTAATTACTATTTGTATAATGAACTAACTGGTACCCGCGACTTCGTTCGCGTGGAATATGAAAAGCGCTGCCTTAGTGGGTTCGATGCCCGGACCGGGTAAAATTTTAAAGGGTTTTTCTGAGAGGAAAAACAGCCTAAGTTATTCCTTATGTAGACAGCTACCTGGTAGTAAAATATTATAGAAATCGATCCAGCCGTTTAGAAGATTACCCGGAACAAACAGACAGACAAAAAATAAATAAACCGTGTGAGCATGAATCAACCTATAATTTTGACATTACAAACAGACTTCAATTTTCTTTGTATGGATTACTCGCAATATAGATTGTGATGAAACTGTAACTTATGAAAATGCCTGCTGTCTTTAAAAAAGCTCAACAAGTTTGAGGCTCAGTCGCTCACCAAGAGTTTCGAATCGATACTCAAAGATACTTGTAAATTTTTGCCAAGTGTTCAAAAGACTAAACTTAAATTTGCCATTCTAATATTTACCCGTACATCTATTTACATCACAGTTAATTTTCTAACTGCAAAATTTGTAAGATAAAATTTGTGATTACATATTACAAAAAAAAAGTAAGCAAAGTAACAACAAAACAACGTGTTACTATTTTTTTGTTATGCTGATAGACCTTTCTCATCGTTTAATTTCAAGATTCTAGTCGAATTGTAGGTCCATTCAAGGACATGTCTCCGTTTTACCTTTGTTTAATGCCACCCAAGAAAAGACACTTCCAATACTATTGACGTCTCTAAAGCGTTGTGGACGCCGTAGTTGTTCTTTAATATTCTTTGGAGGTTTAGATAGGTCTAAAGACCATACTTATAACCTAAAAGAAATAACTTATTAATAAGCCAGTTAAGTATCTGTCGTGCTCTTGCTTCTTTTCTTCGTAGTTAAAAAAAAGTTGCATGTATTGAGTTATAAATGTAGATAAAAGGCTAAGCGTTAACAAGATTATGTTCCTGATAACCCTTAGATTGTTATAATCTTTGCAATATACGTTAAATTTAATCATCATTTAGTGTGGCATTCAACTATCAGATTTGCGTCTTGTATGTTCATAAAATAGTAATATTTTTTGTTCAACTGTTTCTAGAGACGGTATCCAGACCTAAATATAACAGAGGATGACCTGAAAAATGCTGAAAAAGAATTAGAAGAGTGGACTAAAGAGATGGAACAGAAAACTAAAGATGTCGACGGAAATAAAAACACAGAAGCTGTAACAACACTAGAAACAACTGCAGCTATAGAAGACAAGAAAACGATTTAGTACAATATATTTAATCGGGTGCTCCATATTCATCCTATAAAACTACATCTTATAGGTATAATGAATAGGATAAGTTATAAGATAAGTACACAACAAGCTCTCTTTTTTTAAAAAGATTTTTCAGTATTAACTTAAATTCACCAATATTATCAGTGTAATAAGTGTTTGCTTTTATAGAAAATACATTTCGCACTTAATTTAAACTAATGACTTGAGTTTTAATAACTTAATACCGACCAGGGGAGTGGGGAATGTCGAAATACCAGGGATTTCCTTTCTAGGTTACATCTGGTTTTCCGGCTACTGGTACCATCCGGCGTGCGGTTTCAGTCGGTTCGAGTCCGACACAAGTTGACACAACTACCGGTGGGTGGTATCCGAGGGGATTTTACGAGGGGATAGTACTTTTATTTCATAGATGGCGATCCGCATATTTTAATGTGGTTGCATAGCATTTCAAATGCGACAGAATGTATTATAATGTAGGAAGTATCATCAAAACCCATCAACATAAGACATCAATCATCAACATTCAATACTCCGTGGGGGCATCGGAGTATTGCGTAAAAAGTGATACCACAACTTACTGACCCACTTAAAAACGAAATTAAAAATTAATTTGTTAAATCTTAAATTAATAATTTGATTTAAAAAAATACAATATACATTATTGTTTTTCTACCTCTAAGGGTAAAAGCGACGTGTTTCGTGCGTGCCCTTCTGAATTGCAGGGTATTGAGTGGACATCTTGTAACATAAATGCTAGAGAATTTTAAATCTGTTAACTCAGAATGGTACACTAGAGTCGCAGTGCCAAAAGTTTACAAAGCTGTGCAGGACAGACAAACAAAGAACGGGCTTCAGGGAATGATGCTGCACCATGACAATGCGTCCGCAAACTCTTCCCTGAGAACAAAGGCGTTTATTTAAGAATCGGGTATTGAAATCCTAACTCACCCACCTTAGAGCTTCCTGTGATTTCTTTTTATTCCCCACCAGAAAAGGTAAGATAAAAGACAAGTTTTTTTCAAGTGCCGAAGAACCGGTGGCTGCCTACAAATCAGCCATTTTTGACGTGTCAATAAGTCTGAAATAAATGTTTTCGAGACTGGTTTAGGTGGAGGGAAATTTGTATAGAAAGTGATGGAGAGAATTTAAAAAATATATATAATATAAATTGTAAGCATATATTGTTTACTTTCGCGTGTCTCAAAATGTACTATATAGTGACCTACCTGCGAGCACGTTACCGGTTGGCTTCGGCAAGGGGACGAACTTGGATCTTTCCACACAAAAGAAACGGTCCTATATACTTGTTAGAGTTAAACAAATGAGGTATTTGAATTATATTAGTTATTATTTAAATAATGCGGTCAGATTTATAAAATTGAATAATTTATTTTATTACTGAAGGTCAAATTAATAGATTGGATACAATTTTGTAAGTAGGTAGGTAGGTAATCTTAAAATATGAGGACGTACCTTAGTGTAGTGAATTTATTCGCTTATAATGTTGAGTTGATGTTTAAGTAATGAGAACCTTAAACTCTTAGAATTGCGGATATGTAGGTAAACAACTTTTCACAACAAGATGCATCAAAGAGAAATGTTGTTACCAGAATTCACATAGGTTATTAAATTGAAGCTTATTTAAAACGACAATTTCAAAGAGTGTATTTCACATCTACTAGATCGTCACAGTGACTGCGCGTTATTGGCCCGCACTGAAATCTTCACCAATCACAACTTTAAATCTTCACACGAGAGCAAGTTGTTGTGAAATGCACTTAAACCACGGTACAATTATAATACAGTACTCCAACTTCATACAAACGGACGAAACACGAGCTATACCTACGCGCCTCGATCTCGGGGTGCGCTCGGGGCGCAGACAGTCACGGCTGTACCACAGTGTCGAACGGACGGTGTGTTGATTTTTTTAACAATAACCGCGCGATTTTTTCTCTAAAAATCAGTTAATATGACGAGTAGGAAATATTGTGCTGTTTTTGGTTGTATGAATTCGTCAATAACGCATCCAGACATAAGTTTTTTTAAATTACCTGGAAACTCTGAAAGGTAAGACTATAAAATAATTTTACTTACTAGTAGGTAGGTACATAATGTGTGTCTTTTTAATGGATAAGTATTTCCTTTTATCTTACGAAAAAAAGGTGTTTGGATTAATAAATAAAGCGAATAGAGTAACGGAAAGTTATTGAGACGAGTGAAATAGGTAGTTATATGCGGTTCTGAAGGAATCATGATACGGTAGGTACCTACCTACTTACGCTTGTGTTAAAACTTCGGTGCATGTGTGTTTTGTTACTTTGCATAATTCAAAGTAAAGACGTGGTATTTTATTTTTAATAATATTTGTTTATTATCGGTGTGTATGAATAATACTAGAAAAAAAAATTTACCGTCTGTGTGTCATTAGATAGTTTTCGAAATTTTCACAAAGTGTTTCTGCTGCTACTATAACAACATATACCACTAAAAACTGGTTTCATTTTCTCGGTATTAACAACAACAGCTAGACTCATATATATTATTTAGATGTTTGAGGGTTGTGATTTTAAAACATTCGTAGTCAGCTGTTCAGCTTTTTAACAATTAATTAATTGGTGACCAAAGAATTTTTGTTTTGAGTTGTAGGTAGGTACCTAATTTATAGAAACGTTAATAAGCTGAGATAAAAAGTTACTTACTCGTCAGCTGTTTCTTGCATTCTAGTTGAGTAGGTAGGTGTTGGAGTTTCTAAGGATTGGAGTTTTGTAACGCGTAAGGAGAAAGCACATTTTTTTTATTCTATAGAAGGATTTTAAGCTATTGCATAGCTTTTATCGCGGGCTCTGAGCGCGGCGCTGCGCGGTGACCGAATCAAAAAATTCTCAAAACCTAATGAAACCTATGAACCTAATGAAAAATACCTGACACCACGCAGATTTTTTTCTTTAAAAAAAAATGTTATGCAAAAGCTTTACCGCGGCAGTCTCCGAGAGTGTCACATGTATTTTTTTTTTTCAGACGTCTTCAATGGTTGCAACTCATCCGGCGAGATGATTTGGAAAACAAACCTAACTTTAGTTCCTACCAAGTTTGTGAAAATCATTTTAATTTGGAGGATGTATTACATTCATCAAATAGAAAACTTTTAAAAAAGAATGCCCTACCATTGTTGATGCTGCCAAGCTTAGCTAGTACTGATCCAGGAGTATCTCTAAAAGAAGATAAACAAACCCAAACTGCTCCGTTGGTAAGAAATGAAAATAGTACACAGACTGAAAATGAAATCTTTGCTCAAACCTCAACGAGTCTCTCTAGCAACACTCCAAGAAAAAGAAAATTGAAACTTGAACTCCTCCAATGCAGAAAGAAAATAAAATAATTAAATCTACCAATCAAAAAACAACACGCATTTTTATTGAACACTTCCTATTCAATATACAAAGTATTTCATTTATTTATATAAAAAGGATATTTACAATCACAAATCTAAATAGAAACAGAAAGTAGGCAGATATAATTAAAATGCTGGAGACGGGCAGCCCTAACGCATGTTTACGTACCGCGCGGCTGTAGGCATTTATTTCTATCATGCGGCCGAGTTACACTACTGTATTATAATAGTACCGTGCTTAAACTAGACCATCTAAAGATGTATCACATTGAGGTTGTACAACTTTAAGTAGTAAAGTCTAACCGTACAACTTTCGTTGCAGAAATACTGACCGGATACAAATTGGCAGACTCAATAACGGTACCAATAACAAGCCAGACAAATGAATCGGACTAGTTTATCATATAACTGTTTTGAATATAGTACCTACCAGTCTATCATTATTTTGTGTGATGTATTGAAGTATGATGATGTGTATGATGTAGAGTTCCATCTAACAGACAAGCGCCAGAATTTCCACTTACTCTAAAGGTTTATTAAATATTTATGGCAAAAAAACAGTGTTGAGGTAATAGCACCTACTGATTTTCCGAGGCATTTGTGTTGTGGAAGCACTTCGTTAGGTCGGATGACAGTAATCCAGAATTCTAAGATACATTCACAAGATTTTCTAACATGAATGCCCATTTTTATTACAGTTCTCGTTTAGTCCACCGTTCATTCCGAGTGATTTTTAAGGAGAGTTACATGTTGTAAAACTATGTTACGAGTATTTATTATAAATTGGTCTCTGGAAAAAAGATATGTTCTTATTTAAAAACAGTTTTTACTTGATAGCCCCCTCCCTGAAAAAAAAAATTAGGGTATTTAACATCAGCTTGGGAGCGGAGCAATTAACAAAATACGTAACCAGTAAAACTGCATTTAATCGTTGATAATTTATAAACTCGTTTATTTCTAAATTTTAAATCTAGTAAAACCTATGTCAATAAAATTCCGTTACTAAGAAGTTTGTGTATCAATAGACTTATCTTTATGAAGGCTATGATATACTATCATATATATTTAGTAGTAAGTAGTTAATAATTCCATATTTTTCAAGCAGCCCGTTAGGTTGCCCATACAAGAATATGTGGCCTAGTAAATTATTGAGCATGATTTTCACTTCCAGTGAATTATTATTCCAGAACTTCCTTCGTTTATTCAGAAACTGTGAATTTTAGGCAACATTTAAACATGAAAATTCAAGGTTGCACCGTTAGATGGCGGTAAACTAAATAAAAGAAAAGCTCGCGAAACCGGCCCCGAGGCGTGGTGCGAGCTTTCACCCCAGCTAAACTTTATCGATCCCCAAAGTATCAATGCAATTGTAAATACATAGTCGTATTCGGCGTGTTTTTGTTGTGGTTGTAGGTCGATAAAATAAAGAATAAGTACGTGCTCGAGATAAGTTATCAATTCACCATTCGCAAGTCGTAAATACACATGCTAATCAGTCCACTGTTCGATGCGTTGAACGAAAGGCGTGTCATTTGCTCAATAAACTATTAGTTGTACATGTGATTGTGTTGTTGTGACCGGTCTACGAGTGGTGTAA